TTTTTTTTTTTTTTTCTTTTTGAGACAGAGTCTCTCACTCTGTTGCCAGGCTAGAGTATAGTGGCGAGATCCTGCAGCCTCAAACTCCCAGGCTCAACAATCCTCCTGCTTGGCCTCCCAAGTAGCTGGCACCACAAATGCATACCACCAGGCCTGCCTAATTTTTTTTACTTTTTGTAGAGACAAGGTCTCCCTGTGTAGCCCAGGCTATTCTTCAACTTCTGGGCTCAAGCAATCCTCCTGCCTTGGCCTCCCAAAGTGTTGGGATTACAGGTGTGAGCCATCGTGCCCAGTTTCAGAGGGTTTTTCCTGAAATAGAAATCAAATCATGTCCTTCTTCCTTCTGTTCTCAGTCTTTAGGACGAAGTGTATGCTCATTACATAGCTTACAATAGCTGAAAGCATTCTCTCCTGCTGCAGCCAACCCTCAGCTGATCTCTTCACACCCTCTGCTCCCAGCTGGTACTCTTGGTTCTTCCCAGTTTATCCACCCACCCATTCCATCACCAGACAAGCTCCATTAATCTTCCATAACGCTTCTCCCCAAGACAGCTGCCTGTCCCCTTCTGTGTGCACCACAGAGCCTTGGACATTGCTGTGCTTCGTGTGTACTGTATTGAAGTGTCTTGTCATCTCTGTCCACCCCATATTGCACCCCAGTGCCCAGGGAATGCAGGGGCATGTGGACTCTCACTAAACATGTGTTCCATGGACAAGTGAACAAAATGAATATTGGCACTGAGTCCACACTGAATAAATGTTTATGGAAAAAGAGGAAGATGGAAAAAGGAGAAAAGAAAGGAAGGAAAACAATCCATCTCTATATCCTAGTGTCTAGAGTAAGACCAGATACTGCTAAGTTTGTGCAGTGAACGAATGAATGAGTGATGGAACAATAAATGAGTGACTGAATGAGTAAATGACTGGTCTTGCCAGAGCCTGGCCTGATGCCTGGCTGGTGTGTGGTGAATACAGGTCCCTAGTCCTGTGTGTGTTTCAGCATTCAGAGCTTTTCAGACTGTAGGTAGGTAATGTAGCACCCATGCTGCATGTTATGACACAGGCTCGGGGTGGGGGCAAAACCCCAAAACCCACATTAATGCATCCACAGAGAAACATCTGAAGAGTGGGATAAATAACATGATAAATGTGTGGGAATGAAAATGACTGATAGCCACAAATCAGTTGAGGTCCAGTTCTGCTCCTGGGTGGGTTACAAAAACCCTCTGGGTTTTTGGAGCTCTTCCAGGTCAGGGATTGTGGATTGGGTTTATGGGCCTATTGACATAGTTTGGACCTGTGTCCCCCACCAAATCTCATGTTGAATTGTAATCCCTAATTTTGGAGACGGGGCCTGATGGGAGATGATTGGGTCGTAGGGGCAGTTTCTCATGAATGGTTAGCACCATCCCTTTGGTGCTGTTCTCATGACACAGCTCTCACGAGTTTTGGTTATTTAAAAGTGTGTGGCACCTCATCCCTCTCTCCTTCCTCCTGCTCTAACCATGTAAGACGTGCCTTCTTCCCCTTCGCCTTCCACCAAGATTGTAAGTTTCCTGAGGCTTCCCGAGAAGCTGAGCAAACGCCAGCATCATGCTTCCTGTACAGCCTGCAGCACCATAAGCTAATTAAGCCTCTTTTCTATATAAATTACCCAGTCTCAGGTATTTCTTAATAGCAGTGCAAGAATGGACTAATACACCTGTGCTTAGGAAAGGTCTATTGAATGACTGAGTGAGTGAGGAGTGTCTGTGCCCCTGGCCTCTCCCGCTGAGTGTGACCCAGGGCTATCTGTTAAGTGCATGTGTCTCTGGAGTACTGCAGCCTCCCAAGTTACTTACCAGGATGTTTTGTATCAGATGGAGGGCAAGGGACTTGTTGGAGCCACTGAGGATCTCAGGAGCCTCCTTCTGTGGAGAGAAGCAGTGCCCTCTGTAAGCCATCTGGTCATCAGAAGGTAAACCCATCTCCCTGAGGGCATGGGCAGCCGACTTTCACAGGGGAAGCTGGATAAGGAGCCCTGAAGCCCAGGCAGCCACATGTGGAAGTGGCCTCAGGTCAGATAGTTAATTTCTTCTCACTTTTGATAAAAGGCAGCTGTTCCCTGTCATTCCACCTGCAGCCTTGTGGGGCCTGAGTGGTTACCTTGTGAGAAGGCTCCCATTATGGGCTAAATTGTGGCCCCCTCAAAATTCACACATTGAAGCCTTAACCCCCTGCAATTCAGAATGCAACTATTTGGAGATAGTACTTTTAAAGGGGTGATTATGTTAAAATGCAGCTGTTAGAGTGGGCCCTAATCCAATCTGGCTGATGTTCTTATGAGAAAAGAAAGTTTAGACACACAAAGCGATATCAGCACCTTGATCTTGGACTTCCAGTCCCTAGAACTGTGAGAACGTGAATGTCTGTGGTTTAAGCCTCCCAGTCTACGGTATTTTATTATGGCAGCCCTGACTGCCTAAGAGGCCCCAACTTGGCTTGGACATCAAGTTCAAAGAGAAGCCAGAAAATTTCCAAACTGGTGTTTGTTGTTCTCCTTCTCAAGACCTTTGTGGGTGGGGCCTCTGAGAAGCCACAGTGGGAGGTCAGGCAGTGGCGGTGAGGCTGGTGGCTGAAAACACAGGCTCCCTGCACTGCCCTCACCACCTGAAAACTTGGCAAGGGACTCAACTCTTCCTGCCTCAGGCTCCTCATCTGTAAGGTGGAGTTTGCAACAAGTACCTCCTGCGAGGGTGGTGATGAGAACTGAGCGAGTTGATAATTGTAAAGCTCTTACAATGGTACTTGGTACGTAGTAAGCGCTTCATGTGATTATTTGTTAAATTACCATTTTCTGGCAAAATCACAGCTTTAAAACGTGAGGCATCAGAAACACTATCCACGTGGCAAATGAATTTTCTTGGTATGTTTTCTGCTGAAAATCTTGGGGTAATGAATCACTACGGCAGATACTTAAATGAATACTAGGGCCGTACCTGTCTCCTGGAATCTCAGGGAACCCTCAAGTCATTTAAATTACCCACAAGCATATTTTAACTACAAAAACCTTCTCTGTACATTAAGGAGCTGGGATTTGTTTCTCAGGGATTTCCTATGGTCTCTAACAGCTAGTAATGGGTTTAAAGGCAAATTCACATGGAATTTGAGCACCCACACAGGCTTTTGAGCTCTGCAAATTCTGTTACTTGAATAACTCCAATATCTAGCATTTACTGAGCACTGACAGTATGCCAGGTTGCTTGATGTATACCTGTGATGCAGGTGCTAAGATTAGCCCTATTTCACAAATGAAGTAGGGGAAGCTCAGAGAGGGTGGGCAACTCCCCTAGTATCACACAGCAGGTAAGCAGAGAACTCAGCATTTAAAGGCAGAGCCTAGGCTGGGCACCACCCCATGCCTGTAATCCCAGCACTTTGGGAGGCTGAAACAGGTGGTCTCCCAAAGTGCTGAGGTCAGGAGTTGGAAACCACCCTGGCCAACATGGTGAAACTCAGTCTCTACTGAAAATACCAAAAAAAAAAAAAAAAAAAATTAGCTGGGCATGGTGGTAGGTGCCTGTAATCCAGCTACTCAGTAGGCTGAGGCAGAAGAATCCCTTGAAGACAGGAGGTGGAAGTTGCAGTGAGCCAAGATCACACCACTGCATTCCAGCCTCGGCAACAGAGGAAGACTCTGACTCAAAAATTAAATTAAATTTAATTTAATTTAAAAGGCAGAGCCTAAACACATGAAAATTATACACCACTGTCTCCTTACTAGCCGGGAGATGTTGGAAAGCTGCTTTAGCTGCTCTGATCCTCAGTTTCTTTAAAATAGGGAAAATCATGCCTGTTTTCAAGTTGTTGCTTGGATGGCCTGTGCTTGGCACTGGAAGGCACTGGGGAACTGGTTACAGTAGTTACAGTGCTGGTTGTCATCACTAGCACCTGCCTTCTTCTTTCTAACACACACCCAGAAATCACTGAAATGCCTTACTAAAGCCATGAACTGTGATTCAGTGGCCTCGTCTGCAATGTGAGGACAAAAATTCCTAGTCCTACTTCAAAACATTGCCCTGGAGGTCAAACTAATAACGGCAGAACATGCTTTCACAACTCAATGAACTGGGACTCTGGTTCCAGACAGCCACCAACTGGCTTTGTAATCTGATCTTCTTTATTTTTTAACCCTATTTTGTCCAGCTTAAAATGAGGAGGTCAATCTATATAAACGAGCTTCAACAGTACTAGGAATTTGAACTCTCCACTCATCCACAGATGAAAAGTTTATTTCCAATGAATAGTCTTGCTAAGCCACGAAATCAAAAAAATCATGGGTCTTTCCCAGCACCTGGGCCTCAGCTCAACAATCTCTCCCTAGAAGAGCCTTTCCTGACCACCTGTTAACCTCCCTAAAGATACATTCTCTCCCCACTTGTGTCCTTCATAGCATCTATCACTCTCTGAAATCGTCTTCTCAACCTCGTGTCTCATCTGTCTCTCCCCACCAGAGTGTAAGCTCCCAGAAAGCTCATATGCTCAGTTTGTATAAGCCTCTAATAAATGCTCAGTACATACTTGTTGAATAAATAAAATGATTTAACAATTTTGCAACTTATACAACCTTAGCATTCTCGGATGTCAAATGCCAGAACCAAGGCTGGACATGAACAGTTTAAAGGACTGAAGTTTTTCAAACCTATCTGAATGTCAGCTCTGAAGTGGTAACTGCATTTTTTGGAAACGATCATTTATAACATTGTCTGAACAAAGACGAAGTGGACCCATCCCCTCTTTCCTTTTTATATAGTTGTTTCTTCCACCCTAAACCTCATCACATGAGGAGGAAGGCAGACACTTGTTATGACTTGACTGGTCCTCACTTGCCCTCTTTCAGAGAGAGGAAAGGTGATCACTGTGTGCTTGGCTAGTGGACTTCAGCATTTACAACACCTGTTGTCATCTGTGGAAATGCCCAGCTGTTGAAGCCAAGAGCTGCATCATGATTTGAGAGAGTGGCAGCATGGACAACCAGAATTCTTACCATAGGCAGCAGGAAGCCACACTCATGGTTATTGACTCCGATGATGGAAGGAATTGCTTTAAATGCTTTCTGAGACAATAGATCTAGAGGCTCATTAGGAAAGAAAGCACCATCAACCACTCGAGTGAAAGACTTTGCTTTCTGTAATAAGGAAGGAAAAAAAAATCATCAACTATTTCTGTTCACAAAATCTGCTGTCCCAAATCCTGGCCAAGCAAAGCCAACCCAGTCTAGCACTGGTTTAAATGCACTTAAAAAGTAAAAACAAACACTACGGGCCCAGCTCAATATATCAGTCCCTGGCAACTCTGCCATGTACTTGGGCAAGGTGGCTAAAGTTGTCTGTGCCTTATTTTCTCATCTGCTAAATGGGAATAATAATAATATCTACCAAGAAAAACAGTGGCTTGTGACATGGTTTGGCTGTGTCCCCACCCAAATCTCACATTACAGCTCCCGTAATTCCCACATGTTGTGGGAGGGACCCAGTAAGAGGTAATTGAATCATGGGGCAGGTCTTTCCCATGCTATTTGCATGACAGTGAATAAATCTCACGATATCTGATGGTTTTATAAAGCGAACTCCCATGCACAAACTTTTTTTTTTTTTTTGCCCACCACCATTTAAGATGTGCCTTTGCTCTTCCTTCAGCCTCTACCATGATTATGAGGCCTCTCCAGCCACGTGGAACTGTGAGTTTATTAAACCTCTTTCCTTTATAAATTACCCAGTCTCAGGTATGTCTTTATTAGCAGCTTGAGAAGAGACTAATACAGCCTAGCCCAGAGATTCTCAAAGTGTGGTTCCTAGACCAGCAGCATCAGCATCATCTGGGAACTTGTTATAAATGCACATTCTCAGGCCCACTTCAGGCTCCTCAATAAGAAACCCTGGGGTGGGGGCGTAGCCCAGGAACCTTCTTGTAGCTGGTCCTCCAGGTGATCCTAATGCATATTCAAGTTTGAGAATTACTGGCCAAATGCAAAGATAAAAATGGTGGTGGATGGAGTGGTCAGGACTGTAGGGGTTGGTGTGAACATCTTCCTCAAGTGTCTCCCTGAGACACAGTGTCTTGGACATGCCTGGATATATTTTGGGTCTCAAAAAGCAACACTCAGCCCTAATCATGGTTTCCTTAGGTTTCTGTTTTGGAATTTGGGTAGAAAGGAGCATATGAAAGAGTTTGACACTACATCAGGTCCAGGATTTATTATCCATTTCACTGAGTCCAGCATGGCTCAGAGTGACATTCAGTACATACCACATAACTATCAAATGTTGAAATCTGAAAGATAGTGATCTTGATCGTTCAAAGACCGTTATCAAAGGCTCTCAAGATTGAAAGGGACATAAAGATCACCCGGTGCAATTAACTGTCACTGATTGAAAGTTTGTCAGAGGTCAGCTAGATTTTGCTTGAATACCTGGAGAGGTGGGCATCTCACCACCTTATAAAGGAGCCCAGTCATTTTCCAGACAACTGAGGTCTTGAAAAGTTTTCAGTTATGCAGAACTAAAATGACTTCCTAATAGAACTTCCAGCTCCTGATTTTGACTTCAGCTTCTGGAAGCATGGGTAACAAGTGTGGACCCTCTCTCCAGTGAGATGCTTTCAGGGACTTAGAGACAAGCCTTGTACTTTGTTGAATCTTCTCCAGGCTAAGTGGCACCCCTGCCCCAACAATTTTCTTAAATTACCTACAAGGGTTCTATACCCCTATTTTTTTTTTTTTTTTTTTTTTACAGCTGTTACCAAGTATCCCTAATCCTCCTCTTTTCTATGTTCCAAATCCAAATAAATAACAGAGGGGTAGGATTAGTTAATCTCTTCATTCAAAGGACAAGCCCGCCCCCAAAACTGCCCCCTCTGTCCTCACCTGGCTGAGGGTCAGCAGCTCCTTGGAGGATTTTGTCCTCAGGCACCTCAGCAGGTCCTCAGAGTCTGATGCATTCTTCCCACAGAAATGTGCAACCACCTGCAACTATTTTGCAGAGAAGGGCCAGGTTAGAGCATGATATTGGAAGCATCTAGGAAAATGGAAGCTGGAAAATGTCCTCCAATCAGACACAGGTTTGTCCTCCATATATGAGTTCATCCTGCTACCCCTGCCTAGCCCCAGGCCCCTATAATGGAAGGTGCACATGGCGGACAGGTTGCCACTGCATCACCCTAACTCGCCTGGCTCCCCTTGTCATCTTTAGTGAACACCACAGCTGGGGATGGGAGTTTGCCAGTCTGTGACGGTAGAATGGAATCAAGGTTCATGGTCACAAAGAGATCAGTCCTGTGAGCTTGGCTGCATTGGTACTTGGCCCCTCCAGAGTCTAGAAGCCCAATCTTGAGGTGCTAAATAAGACAGAAACACCAAGAGCGAGGAGCAGCTTTGCAAGCTCCTTCATTGTCAGTAGAGGCAGGGCTCCAGATCAGATTCTTAGCTTGTCAGCCCTGCCCAAACCCCAGGCCCACACACAGCCTGGAATGTCCTACCTGTCTTTTTTCCTGCCTCTATACTAATCCTTCTCATTCTTTAATGCCCAACGCCTTCCCTCCACGATGTCCTTTCAGGGCATTGCACCCCCAAGAAACCCCTTCCTCATCCAATCTCCTATAAGCTCGATGTTCCCCACCTTCCATGCCTGGCCCATTGCTGAACACCTGCTTTCCTTGTCACTGAACCTTCCACATTTGTAGAACTCGCTCCCTGAAAGTGATGGTTCTTAATCTTCTGGGAGTCATGGATACTCTGAGAATCCAATCAAAGTCACAGACCCTCTCCCTGGGAAAACGTGCAAGCATGTGGAGTCTGGCACAATTGTGGGACCACTTTCCAAACCTATCCATGGATTCCAGGATTTAATCCTATCCATGGATAGGTGATAAAAAGATTAGATTGCCCTCAAGTTTAGGATGTGCTTTCTCCACTGATAAGTCCCAAAGCTCTAACAGAGCAGGGAAAATAGTGGGCACCCAGTGATGTGTGTCAAATGAATAAATATATGCCCAAACTGAAAACAGTTTTATGGAGAATGTTACCAAAATCAGTATTTCTGTGTATTGAGGGTATTCTTTTTACAACTTTATAACTTTATGTTACTGCTCTTGGTATACACTGTTACTTTCTGTAAGATGTTTAAGAAAATTTACCACAAAAATGATTAATACTCAAGAGATGGCTCCACAGCCCAGTGCTTAATTAATGTGCATTGAATGAAACAGCTCATTCGTTAACTCATTCATTCAGAACACTTATGGCTGCCTGATATATACCAAGTATTATGCTGGAGACCTGAAGGACAGAGAGATCCTGGTCTCTAGGGCCTCACGATCTAGTAGATAATTAAGACAAGAGACAGATGAGAAATATCATGTGATAGATGCTCCTTATAATCCCAAGCCAGACAACACTAATCAGTCACAGCGTTATTTCCCACTGAGCTGGAAACAGCCTCTGAATCTTTCTTAACACAATGCCCTGGGTATCCATTCCCAGCAGAGTAGCGTAGGCACAAAAGAGCTGTATAGGATACAGGGCACTGAGTTATATATCACAAGCAAAGAATCACGGGTAAGATGTAAGAACCATAACACGCATACACACACACTTGTGCACACCAGTGTTGTGGCATTGTGTAGCTAGTTCCATTTCCTGTGGAACCAGACATTTCATGGAGGAACAAGGTTCACCTTGGGCCAGCATGAGGTTCCTTGGGCATGGTCACTAAGGAAAGCCAAACACATGGTGAGAAGGTGCCCGAACACATTCTCTGCTAACTGAGGAGAGGAAGCTGGCAAGGTGTTAACAGTATACATACGTCCTCACTCTTCTCATAGTCATGGGCCTTCAGGTAAGGGATGATGGCCACCCCACTCTCCATGACGGCTTTGTGGAATAAGCCTTCGGCCATGGGAGACAGTATCTGGAGAGAGAACACAGAAGACCCAGGAAAAGTTACTCCCCAGCGACACACATACCATTCACTCCTCTTCAAAGAAACCTTCCCAGGAAGCCTCCTTAAAAGCTCTAAGCTTAGAGGGGAAAAAAGCCCTGGTTTGGGGGTGAAAGGACTAGCTGTGAAGGTTTGGGCAACTTACTTAACCTCTCTGATCCCCTGGTTCTTCATGGACTTTGATGTCAAATATTCAGACATGTGATTTCTAGCTCCTTCACTTCCTAGCTAGGTAACCTCGGAGAAGTTGCTTAATATTTCTTTTCTTTTTTTTTTTTTTTGAGATGGAATCTCAATCTGTGGCCAGGCTGGAGTGCAGTGGCACAATCTCAGCTCACTGCAACCTCTGATGCCCGGGTTCAAGTAATTCTCCTGCCTCAGCCTCCAGAGTAGCTGGGATTACAGGGGCGTGCCACCATGCCCAGCTAATTTTTGTATTTTTAGTAGAGATGGGGTTTCACTATGTTGGCCAGGAGAGTCTCAATCTCCTGACCTCTTGATCCACCCACCTCGGCCTTCCAAAGTACTGGGATTACAGGCATGAATCACCACACCCGGCCAAGTTGCTTAATATTTCTAAGTATCAGTTCACTCCACTGTAAGGCTGGAGTAAAAACTGAGCCCGTATCACAAAACTGTTGTGAGGAGCAGGGGAAGTAATCAACATAGAACTCTTCACACAGGGTCTGGTCCAATTTTGCTCATGAAATAATGGCTGTTATCATATATGAAAAATTAGGTTAATACAATCCACCTTAGAAGGTAATTTTGAAGATGTAAAAAGACCACAGATACTGTCAAGTGCTATTCAGCAGAAGCTTTCTTAACTCACCACCATGTCACTGATTGCTGCAATTAACCTGCCAACTGATGCCAAGGAAATGCTGACCACTGAGCCAGTGGGCCATTTTCCAGCACCTCTGTACATTTCTCTTCTCACCAGTTTCTTGGCAAGAATCAGGTTTGTTCGCTTCCAAACCTGTTTTGTCATTTGCACTTGTTATTGTAATTACATAATCAATGAAATATCATGAGAACAAATGAACTGTATGTGTAAAAAGAAAATCAAATTATGTCTGGAAAAAAATTCTTGATAAAAGATGGCTAAAAAATATTGCATCAGGTCAGGCATAGTGACTCATGCCTATAATCCCAGCACTTTGGGAAGTCAAAACAAGAGGATCACTTGAGCCCAGAAGTTCAAGACCATCCTGGGCAATATAGCCCAATACAGCTAGACCTCATCCCTAAAAAAATTAAAAAAAAAAAAAATTAGCTAGGCGAGGTGGCGCATGCCTTTAGTCCTAGCTCCTTGGGAGGCTGAGGCAGGATAATTGCTTGTGACCAGAGTTTGGTCTGCAATGAACTATGATCACCCACTGCTTGCCAGCCTGGGCAACAGAGTGAGACCTTGTCCCAAAAAGATATATTGCTGTCATCGGGCACGGTGGCTCATGCCTGTAATCTCAGCAGTTTGGGAAGACAAGGCAGGTGGATCACCTGAGGTCGGGAGGTCGAGACCAGTCTGACCAACATGGAGAAACCCCATCTCTACTAAAAATACAAAATTAGCCAGGCATGGTGGCACATGCCTGTAATCCCAGCTACTCAGGAGTCTGAGGCAGGAGAATTGCTTGAACCCGGGAGGCGGAGGTTGTGGTGAGCCTAGATTGCGCCATTGCACTCCAGCCCGGGCAACAAGAGCGAAATTCCATCTCAAAACAAAACAAAACAAAAATCCATATATGTGTGTGTATGTATATATATACTATACGGATATCTATGTATCTATATATATAGATATATAGATATAATATATATATATTGCTGTCAAATCGTGTGTGGACAAGAAAGAAGTAAAATATTTACAGGAAAAGTATAAAAATCCCAAATGCACTAAAATCAGGCGGCTTTGCATGCATCTTTAAGTTTGCACCCACTGTAAAGAAACTGCAATTTGAGGATAGCGAATTTTGCGGGTGGTTTATGCAAGATAATCCATGTTGGAACTCGAGTCGGCAGACCAACTCTGCAAACATAAGGCCCCATATCAAACTGTTGGTGAGGGAATATACATTTTACGGTTTAAATTAAAATAAAATATTTATATGCATCTTTTGGCATTTAATGCCTTAGCTGAGTTTCCTATTAAACATGTAATTACCACTCTGGTAATTGAATACTAGGGTTTCTCCTCTACCAACACAAGGGATTTTCCCTCAAATTATTACTCACTCTGAGACCTCAGGTGATTTATTTAAACTTTCCCAATGACACTGTCTTGTCTGTGAAATTAGACTGAGCCCCTAACTCATAATGTGTGTGTGAGGCTTGAAGAAGACAATGTGTATTAAAGTGCTTGCTCAACATGAAGGCACCAATCAAATGTTAATAATTCATCATCATTTTTGGAACCTCCTGCACTGACATTCATTCAAATCACAAAGCAGAGAACTCACAAGGCTTGAAACACTTATGGCTCCCGCGGACTCGCCAAAGATGGTCACAGAGCTGGGGTCCCCACCGAAGAACTCGATGTTCTTCTGGACCCAGGACAGAGCAGCCACCTGGTCCTTGAAGGCCCAGTTCCCCGGCGCGTGCTGATCCCATGTGCTGAGAACAAGAGGCAGGGTGAGAATTCTCAGTCAGCCATGGTGTGTTTCCGACAGCCCTGGAAGTTCTCAGCAGAGGCTGTGGGCAGGCGTCAGTGGGGAGGGGACTGAGAGTCAGAGGCCTGGAGGACCTGGGGAAACTGGGCTCAGTTCTCACACTTTGCTGGGATTTGAATTTCTTTGAGAATTTGATGAAAGTTATGCACCCGAGAAGAAATGCACATACAATATTGTAGGTGCAATTTCAAGTATTCATGGGCTCCTCAGAATCCATGAATCCCAATCCATGAATCCTATGTTGCCCAGGCTGGTCTGGAATCCAAGAATCCGATCCTGAGAGTTGGTCTGTACTAGAAAGCAAGGGTTTCCTGGGCACAGAATTTTCCATGAAACTAAATTAATAATAGTCATAATAACAATAACAGGCGGGCGTGGTGGCTCATGCCTGTAATCCCAGCACTTTGGGAGGCCGAGGCGAGCGGATCACAAGGTCAGGAGATCGAGACTATCCTGGTTAATACGGTGAAACTCCATCTCCACTGAAAAAACAAAAAACAAACAAAAAAAAACCCAAAAATATTAGCTGGGAGTGGTGGCAGGCACCTACAGTTCCAGCTATTCACGAGGCTGAGGCAGGAGAATGGCATGAATCCGAGAGGAGGAGCTTGCAGTGAGCCGAGATTGTGCCACTGCACTCCAGCCTGGGAGACAGAGCGCCGTCTCAAAACAAAACAACACAATAACAGCAGCTGCAGCAAGTACAGGACACTGTTCAAAAGACTTTAAGGCTAATAATCCTACAACCCTCACACCTATGAGGTAGGTGGTGCTGGTTTTTCTTCCTTTGCTTCTTTGGGTCTTCTCCATCCTTGTCTGCCCTGCCCCCGAAAAGCTGACCTCTAGGAAAGGCATCACCCAGGCCTCAGCTGTGTGCCATGAGGGTGGGCTAGAGAGAGACTGCGATGTTTATCCCACCACCCCATGCTCCATCTCTGATGGGAAGTGTTTGGGCAGAGGCTGCTTTTTTCCACAGTAGCAGCTCATGCCAACTCCCTTCCACTAAACCTGGAGCCTGCTGTCAGGACACCAATGGATACATCAACTCTTTAATTCAGGCACAGAGAGGTTAAACCCCCTTGCCCAAGAGCTAGAAAGCTGCAGTTTTGGGATCCCACGTCCCAATCCTGCTCCCCCTACCAATTGCATGTTTTCCAGGATGGAATTAATGGGAGAACAAATGAAACAAGTGGAAATGCCATAGAACCAAAGAAATGTCTAGACTGAAAGCATGCATGCAGTGCACACCATATATGGATGTCATCCTGAGGCACATTCTACTCCCCTCCATTTTCCAGTTCCCCAGACTGCTCCTTCCCCTGGTCCCCTCCACTGTCCGTGACCACTGAGCTGGCTCTGACTCCACCTTCTCTCTCCCAGGACCCTGCATCTGGTCAAGAGTCAAGCCCCGCCAATTTCACCTCCATTCTACTGTGGCTCCCACCCTGGACCCCGTTTCTTCATCTCTGTTTATCCTGAGAAGCATTATACCTTAATGGTTACCATCTCAGCCTCGAGCACAGGATTCACAGTCTGGCCACTTATTATATGGGTGACCTTGGGAAAGTCACTTACCCTGCTTTACCTCAATGGTTCTCACATCTAAAATGGGGATAATGATAGTGCCCACTCCACATGGCTGTGAAGATTGACAGCGCCAGACAGACAATAAGCATGTCATACACTCATGTTATATACATGTTAGCTATTGCTTTTGTGTTTGAATGACCCCATGGCCTGCATCAAGACAGTGCCTCCCAATGGGGCTCCCCATCTGCAGCTGGACACCCCTGGCTCACCCTCCACTCGGCTTCAGAGTGAGATTCCTGGTAAAGTACTCTGAGAAAGGTAATCCTAGCCCCTCAGTCTGTGTTGGATAAAGCCCAAACTCTATGTACAGCCTGGCATTCAAGGTTCACTCGTTCTTAGGTCGCTCGGCATTGTCTCCGGCTACTGCATGCCTGCTCCTTGGGGATCTGGGGTGTCGATTACTTGGAGAGACTCACGTGAAGAAGCCAAATATTCCCAGCCGGTACTGGATGACCACCACCAGCACGTCCTCATAGGCAGCCAGAGCGGACCCATCGAAGATGGAGGCTGAGCCAGTCTTGAAGGCACCCCCTGGGAACCACACCAAGACCTGAGGAGGGGAGAGGAGTGTCCAGTCAACCAGGAGGCACCACCTCCCCTCCCCATGCAGGTGAGGCACACGTTCTTAACACCAAATAGAAATGTCCCACTTGCTAAGCGGGGTACGAGGTTTTGACTCCCACTGCCACTGACTAGCTGTGTGACCTTGGGAAGATTACTTAGCCTAAAGCTCATTTTTCTCATCTGTAAAATGTGAAGAAGGAAAGTATCTCACTAATGAAGTTATCATGAGGTTTAAACAAAATTCTGCATCTAAAGCTCACAGAACAATGAGCAATAGCACATTTCAAGTTTCAAGTGCTCAGAAATAGCTCACTAAATACCAGTGAGCCTGTGACCCACAGGAAGATGGAAACCATTGTAAGCATGTGTAAGAGCAAAAGCAGCTCAAGGTGTTTCAGGGAAAAGCTCTCAGAGAGAGGAGAGGAAGGGAGGGGAGGGAATGGGGAGAAAAAGAGAATGGAGGAGGTGATGGGAGTGGAGGGGGAGGAAAAGAGGAGGAGGAGGAGAAGAAAGAGGAGGAGGAAGGGAGAAGGAGAAGGAGGAAGGAGGAAGAGGAGAAGGAGAAAGGATGAAAAATGAAGAAAGAAAGAAGAGAAAGAAGAAAGGTCAGGCGCAGTGGCTTATGCCTGTAATCCCAGCACTTTGGGAGGCTGATGTGGGCAGATTGCCTGAGCTCAGGAGTTTGAGAACACCCTGGGCAATATGGTGAAACCCTGTCTCTACTAAACCAAAAATTAGCCGGGCATGGTGGCAGGCACCTGTAATCCCAGCTAATCAGGAGGGTGAGGCACAAGAATCCCTTGAGCCTGGGTGGTGAAGGTTGTAGTGAGCCGCATTTGCACAACTGCACTTCAGCCTGGGAACAGAGCAAGACTCTGTCTGCGTCCCCCACCTCCCCCCAAAAAAGAAAAAAAAACCGGGAAGAGTAAAAATTGTATTGATTAGAAAAATTGGGACCAGGAAACATAAGACATTATTCAAGTGGCGTTATCTCTATTTATATATTTAATAACAAATCCCTTCCATTCTCTTTCTTGAGGTCATATTAGAGATTACAGCCTTTGGGGCAGGTAAAGAGAAGAAAGCCACAGAAGAAAGGGGAGGTAGACAAAGCACTTTCTTTGGTGCCAGAATCTAGCGCCTACTGTGTGTACAACATGGAGCAAGTCATTTATGCCCTTCCTAGGCCTCATCTTCTCCATCTGTGGAATGGGTCCAAATCGTCCTTACCCAGTTAAATCATGTGATGTACTGTGCCTGGTACACAGCAAGCATTTAATAGACATTACTGTTACGATAAAAGACAGCCAGCTTCCCCTGGCAGAGGCATGGGGAATGGAAGAGGATGCGAGGGTTTGGCTAAAAAAATAGAATATGCCTTTCCCCCACTCACTGACATAGGGATATTTTATATTCTTAAATGAAACACTTAACATGATTACCTGACTGTCTTCATTATAAACAGAAAAGTTGGAGGATAAAATTATCCTTTTTGAAAAAAGAGAGTGCGCCTAAAATGGCCGAATAGGAATAGCTCCAGCCTCCAGCTCCCAGTGTGAGCGACACAGAAGACGGGTGACTTCTGCATTTTCAACTGAGGTACCAGGTTCGTCTCACTGGGGCATGTCGGACAGTTGGTGCTGGTCAGTGGGTGCAGCCCAACCAGCAAGAGCTGAAGCAGGGCAAGGCATCATCTCACCTGGGAAGCGCAAGGGGGAAGGGAATTCCCTCCTAGCCAAGGGAAACTTAGACACACAACACCTGGAAAATGGGGTAACTTCCACCCGAATACTGCACTTAACCTAGCATCTTGGCAAATGGCACACCAGGAGATTATATCCCACGCCTGGCCCAGAGGGTCCCAGGCCCACAGAGCTTCCCTCATTGCTAGCACAGCAGTCTAAGATCTAACTGCAAGGCAGCAACGAGGCTGGGGGGGGGCGGCCGCCATCGCTGAGGCTTAAGTAGGTAAACAACACCACAGGGAAGCTTGAACTGGGTGGAGCCCACCACAGCTCAGGGAGGCCTGCCTGCCTCTGTAGACTCCACCTCTGGGGACAGGGCATAGCAAAACAAAAAGCAGCAGAAACCTCTGCAGATGTAAATGCCCCTGTCTGACAGCTTTGAAGAGAGCAGTGGTTCTCCCAGCATGAAGGTTTACATCTGAGAACGGACAGACGGCCTGCTCAAGTGAGTCCCTGACCCCCTGAGTAGCCTAACTGGGAGACATCCCCCACTAGGTGCAGACTGACACCTCACATCTCACACAGCTGAATAAACCTCTGAGAAGCTTCCAGAGCAAGAATCAGAAAGCAACACTTACTATTCAGCAATATTCTATCTTTCGCAGCCTCCGCTGCTGATACCCAGGCAAATAGGGTCTAGAGTGAACCTCAAACAAAATCCAACAGACCTGCAACTGAGGGTCCTGACTGTTAGAAGGAAAACTAACAAACAGAAAGGACACCCACACCAAAACCCCATCAGTATGTCACCATCATCAAAGACCAAAGGCAGATAAAAACCACAAAGATGGGGAAAAAGCAGTGCAGAAAAGCTGGAAATTCAAAAAATCAGAGCACATCCCCCCCTCCAAAGGAACACAGCTCATCGCCAGCAATGGAACAAAGCTGGACGGAGAATGACTTTGACGAGATGAGAGAAGAAGGCTTCAGACAACCAAACTTCTCAGAGCTAAAGGAGGAACTAAGTACCCAGAGCAAAGAAATTAAACCCTTGAAAAAATAATGGAAGAATGGATAACTAGAATAATCAATGCAGAGAAGTCCATAAACGAACTGATAGAGATGAAAACCATGAATCGAGAACTAGGTGACAAATGCACAAGCTTCAGTAACTGACTCAATCAACTGGAAGAAAGAGTATCAGTGATTGAAGACCAAATGAATGAAATGAAGCGAGAAGAGAAGTTTAGAGGAAAAAGAGTAAAAAGAAATGAACAAAACCTCCAAGAAATATGGGATTATGTGAAAAGACCAAATCTACATCTGATAGGTGTGTCTGAAACTGATGGGGAGAATGGAACCAAGTTGGAAAACACTCTGCAGGATATTATCCAGGAGAACTTCCACAACCTAGCAAGGCAGGTCAATATTCAACTAGAGGAAATAAAGAGAATGCCACAAAGATACGCCTCAAGAAGAGCAACTCCAAGACACATAATTGTCAGATTCACCGAAGTTGAAATGAAGGAAAACATGTTAGGGGCAGCCAGAAAAAAAGGTCGGGTTACCCACAAAGGGAAGCCCATCAGACTAACAGCAGATCTCTCAGCAGAAACTCTACAAGCCAGAAGAGAGCGGGGGCCAATATTCAACATTCTAAAAGAAAACAATTTTCAACCCAGAATTTCATATCCAGCCAAACTAACTTTCATACGTGAAGGAGAAATAAAATCCTTTACAGACAAGCAAATGCTGAGAGATTCTGTCACTACCAGGCCTGCCCTACAGGAGATCCTGAAGGAAGCACTAAACATGGAAAGGGACAACTGGTACCAGCCATTGCAGAAACATGCCAAATTGTAAAGATCATTGACGCTAGGAAGAAACTGCATCAACTAATGAGCAAAATAACCAGCTAATATCATAATGACAGGATCAAATTCACACATAACAATACTAACCCTAAATGTAAATGGACTAAATGGTCCAATTAAAAGACACAGACTGGCAAATTGGATAAAGAGTCAAGTTTGCTGTATTCAGGAGACCCATCTCACATGCAGAGACACACATGGGCTCAAAATAAAGGGATGGAGGAAGATCTACCAAGCAAATGGAAAACAAAA